TTTTAATAACATTTGGTTCCATTAATACAATTCTAAGTCAACCCTAAATAATCCAGTGTATATTAACTTTCTTAAACATAACACTTCTACCATTTCTTTGTTATTTGCCTGAGAAATGCTACAGGACACTATTAGGTGTAAGTGGTTGGCTAAGGAATTTGCGGTTTTGGATGATTTCTGTGTATAGCACATATTATAGACCATTGTGTGCAGTAACGTAATTTAATGGGATCAACTGCTGTCAGTGTGTCAACTGCAGTTGATACTACAAGAGAAGATGGTTGTTTTTTTTATCTCTGTTCCTGTGCTGTATTCTGAAAGTGTGTGTACCTTTTGTTCTCAATCAGAAGTATGCCTAGTGCAGGCCAGGACTAAATGATTAATGTCGCTTCTCCAAAGTTCTTCTCACCATTTGCTGGTTTCAGTATTATCTCACACTCTACCCCACCGTCAGACTCAGAAACCATGAACCTGCAGTGTAAGAGCAGATCTGTTTGCCTCAGAATTGGCTAGCAAGTGCTATGATGAACCCATGAGCTGCCTTTTCATAGGATTTGTTTTGTTACTCACTAGACGGTGAACATGCTTTCCCAAGTTTCTTCCCAGAGTTGAGGTTATTGCCAGGCCTGTGCAGACTGATTTACATACTGGAGAGGATGATTAAAAGATACAAGCTTCGATACTGCTGGTTTGCCCCGATGTGGTTCTACCGCAACCTCTTTTAGCATATTGTCATTGCAGACTACGGATTTTTCGTTTCACCAAGGCCTTTAATTCACTAAGGTGGAACACATTTTTTTCTCATGGGAACCACCTGTGCTCCAGTAGCGTCAAGTTTAAAATGGATTAGTGAGCTGTGACTTGACAAAGATTACATCAGTGAGACAGACAAAAGTAAATAGTAGAGAGCAGTACGAGAGTAAATGAAGCCTCTCAGGGACACGATTCCTACGGAAACATCCAACACTGTAAGACACCAAAGGGACTTCTTGAAAAGTGACCTTTTTATTTGCTTGAAGAGGATATAATGTTCTGTTGATTTAATATTTAGCAATAGTCTGTGTTCTGGGGAAAGGAGGCTGCACTCTGGTGGAAGACTTAACACCTTTGAGTCATGCTCCATTCTAGAGTTCATTACAGATTTACAGGCAAGACTGCTTGGCACAGGTTATATGGGGTAAATACATAGCCGGATAACCTAGACATGTAAACAGAGACCTCTGTCAGGATGTCTGTTGACAATGCTGCCTTAGGGGCCCAGGAGGTCCAATTTCATAAGCTGCCCATGCAGGTGAAGGTGGGAGTGGACCGAGCATAGTCAATGCAAGTCTTGAAGGATTCCAGTAGTACATAGACCTTCCAAAAATCCCTCCTGGCTGATTAGCTTCCTGCAGCTGTGCTCAAATGGAGCTGCAAGGAGCTCAGCTGAGCTCCAAGACGATCTGTTGCTGCTGGTGGTACTGAACTTGAGTTCCTGTCCCTTAGAGAAATGTCCCTAAAGCAATGCCTCTCTTCTTGCTTCTGGCGTTCAGTGGTGGTCTGAGGTGTAGCCAACAGAAGGTGACTGTGTCCTTTTCATCAGTTCTGTTCTAATGTGAGCAGCTCTGAGGGGGGTAGGGAAACTCTCACAATCAGGTGTCCTGTGCCCCATTGCCCACTTCTGCCCCAAGGCCTCTCAGCTTTGCTTGGAAGTTTGTCTCAGATTCTGTAGAGCTAAAGGAGAGAATTTCAGCAGAAGCCAGTGTGTTCATCATGGATGTTGTTTCTACTATCTGTAGTATTATGAGAGAGAGATTCCATAATGCAGCCAGTGTTTAAATGAATGGGTTGGTCCTCACAAACCAACAATTTATTATGGTGTTTCAGATAACAAGTGAGTATTCTAACCAGTGTATAGTATAGTGGTGCTGTTAAGGTTGCATCACAACTTCTGTTTAAAGGTCAGTGTGACATTACACCCCATATTCTTCATAGAAATATGCTTATGATATGAATATGGCCTAAGATATATTTTATGTGAGATGGGTCTTGTAAGGTATCATTGGAAAGGTTATGATTTACTGAATATGATTATCCAATTTGTATGCATGTATCATTTCTGTATCTAAAGTTAGAAATACTGACTATGTAACAATTACAACTGGGGGTGTATTTGGGAGACACCCACCAGACAACAGGCCATCGGCTTTGGTGGGCCATTAGGAAGAAACAATAAGACTTTAAAGATACTAATCTCTCTCTTGGCATCCTGAGACATAGCTGAGACACTACTGGGTCAGGTGGTCCTGTCACCTGGTACTAAAAGGCATCCTGGGACATAGCTGTGACACTACTGGGTCAGGTGGTCCTGTCACCTGGTACTAAACACCATCTTGGACTTCTAGTAATTTACCACTAAAAGGAGGGGGAAGTCATCTCTGGGAAACAAAAGATTCCCGCCTTATGTAAATCTTATTTAAGGCTGAGGAATAGGGCAAACAGGACTCTTCTCCATTGCCTTCCTGCCCAGGAAGAAAGACTGCTGAACGTACCTGAAGAGACAAAGGAATTGACCAGTGAGAAAGGTAAGGGCTGAGTCCTGACTGAGGCAGAGGAGTCTAGTCTGTAAAGAGAAATAACTGGAACTCTAAGCTACAGAAACTCTGCCTCCAGCCCAAAACAACATTTAGTGTGAGAAATTACTTCTTGAAGCCAGTCTCTTTAAGATCTTACGTTTAGTATGCATGTTTTGTTTTATTTACTTGGTGTAATCTGCTTTGTTCTGTTTGCTATCCTTATAATCACTTAAAATCTGCCTTTTATAGTTAATAAACTTTTTTGTTTATTATTAAACCCAGTTTGTGCAATTACTAACTTGGGGGGGGGGGGGCGGGCAAGAAGTTGTGTGTATCTTCCTCCACATTGAGGGAGGGGGCAAATTTATGAACTTACATTGTATGAATTTATCTATAGAGCAAGACAATATTATTTTGGATGTACTTTCCAGAGGGAAGCACTTGAGTGCTGGGTGATTTCCTAGCTGAGTTTTCCCAGAGAGAACAGTTTGCAGATGCTGTGTGATTCTACAGCTGCTGTGTTCCTACCTGTGTGTGTGTGTGCTGCCAGAGGCCGGAGAGCATAATTCAGCAAAACAGGAGAGGGAGCCCAGGCTAGTGGAGCAGGCAAGCTCAGTGAAATCCCAGTACATCAGGTGGCAACCAGAAGGGTAGTCTAACCCGTCACAGTCAACTTTTCCAAGTCCTCTAAAATATAGATGCTTAGTCAGATTCCTTTTAAATTTGGTGTGCCTCAGGAGGTTGGAGGATAAAGTTAGTAAGCCAAACACTGAGTTATTTGAGGTAGGGGTTGTGGAGCCCTGAAAAAAAGTCATTTTTCAAAAAGTTTCTAGGTGGGGATTTTTGTGCAGCGCTAGAGATCAAACTACTGAAATAATATGGGTCAAAATGGTCTCAATCTGTCAAGCGTTACCCAAGGTAGTGCTTGGAATTCACTAAATCCCTGGGGGATCAAAACTGAGATCAGTATTTGAGAACATGTTTACTTGCTTAGATGTGTAGTGGGGAAGGATTGTAATTGTGCTTGCACTAATAAAAAAAAAATCTTTTTTAGGCAGCTGCTTTTTGGTTACCTGGGTAGTTTGAGGGAATGTGCCAATGCCATTTCCCCTTGTGATTACCCTGACACTGATGTTTCTAGTTGGAACTTTTGTAACCTTGTGCAGTGACGATCTAATAATTCATGATGCTTGCTACAAGTGGTATCTGTTATAATATATTTATTTTATAGGGAGGTTTACTGTGAACACAGCAGAATAGTCAGGTGGTCTAATGAAAATTTTTGTTACATTGGGTGGAGAGGAGCTGGAGACCAATATTGTATCAGGTGGTGAGGACGAGGTGGGGGTGGGGACAGGAACAGGGAGAGGAGTTCTGGCTGTGGAGTGGGTGGGACATGAGGATGTGTGGTAGAAAAACCATGGATTGGTGGTTTGAGAAAATCTGTATTTTACTTGTCTTGGAAGTGGACCCAAGTGGCTAATCTGCCCCAAGATCAGGAAGTAATGTGGTGTTTCCCGAGATGCACAGTGTGGAGATTTGGAATTGACAGCAAAGTACCTTGACCGCTGACGGAAGATAAATGTGTGTGCTGCCAGGATTGCCAGTGTTTGGATACTGCGTGATTCCTGGATCATGAGGTTGCAGTAGTTTGTGGGAGAGCAAGGAGTAAACGAGGACATAGGGATTGTTGATTACAGTCTGATTTGGGTAGAGAGAGGTGGCCTGCATTGGCATCATGTTCTGCTCATTTTGCAGAGTCTAACTAGTGACTTAAGAGGCAGTGACCTACCAGACGTTCTGGTGAACATGGCACGGGCAATCTCCCCCTCCCCACTTTGTCCTTTAAATAGTGTTAGTTAGAATTCTATGGGTGAAAGTGAATGGCTTGTAAAAGGAGGCGAAGAGCATGTATATTTCAGTAACTGTGGGGTTGCCAGAATAAAGGTATTTTTAATAAACTGGGCATATTGGGGCATTGCTGAAAAAGGGCAGAGTTAAGATTGCACGGGCAACTTTTGCACTTCATTTCCTGGTTTTCAGAAGTTTGAGTTTGCTCAGATGAACATTCTGAAAGGGGATGACATACCCACAAACACCTTTTCTCTGAGCTAACATAGATTTTTGACATTAAATTTACAATAGGGTTCACTTTATATTGTGCTCTTCGTCATTCTCTCAGTAAAGTACTGTCACTCTTGTTTTCCTAATTATATTTTTCCAGAGGGAAATCAACAGCTCTCTTCTTGTCAGTAGTCTAGTGTTTTTTACAGGTCAGACCTTCCTTCCCATTCCTCTTCACTGCCTTTCATGCAGCAAGTGAAAGACCCAGAATAGTTGACCACAATGATGGTCTTGGTGATAAAGTGAATACAACATGAAAAGCTCTCACAACGGGGCCACCTCACTCTTACTCTAAAGTGCTTTTTTTAAAATATATTGCAGATATCTTTTGTATCTACAAATAAAAAGGGACATTTTCCATGGTCGTTTGCTGTGCTCTTTTTCTGATGCTGCCTACCTGGGTGCCTGTATTGTCCAAGGTAAGTACAACCCACAGCACACTGTGAATTATTTTAGCACCTTGAGAGTGGTATTCAATATAAACAGCAAAGGGTTTAGAAGCGTATTTCAGAATCAGATATAAAAAACAGTAAGCCATTTGTCCTTATGTCACTCTCTCTAAACTTTGACATGTGCTTCAAAAATGAAAGAGGTTCAGAAGTGTAAGAAACCAACAACAAATTAGGACATTGAAAAAAACAAACTAATCCTGTTAGGTTTTTATATGAGAATATACAGTACTTTATGTATGGTACTCAGCTCTAGCTATAAAAGAAATCAAGGTTCTGTTCCTTGATATTTCTGAATATAAACATATTCAATTCCATATGAACGAAACAAAAGATAAAAGTTAATTGATTCAAGGGCAGTGGTTCAGATTGCATTTTTCCAACTTGAAACAAAGGAGATCTGAATGATAATGGAACCCCAGGGAAGAGGGAGACAAGTAGATTACCATGGTGATGGGGTCTCAGTCTCTAGGTGATTGGAGTACCATCCTCATTTCCTTTACTCCTTGGTGGCCAATCAAAGGCTGTACTAAGTCAGTTTTAGAAAAGCTAATGAGCACTATAAGATGTAGCCTGTTTGTGTCTGTGTTAACTGAGGAATGGGCATGAGGGGAACAGAGTATGACAATGACATTCCAGAAATATTGGAGATGCTGGAAATTCCTGACACCAACTTAAAAATGCTAGAATAGGTTCTCCCTGGCTGTTCTGTACTGACCTGACTTTTAGGGCCAGATTTTGAAACCGGAGGTGCACATGCAAAACTTGGATACATAACTGGATCCTTATATTGGTGCAGGCAATTATATGATTGCACATACAGATTGCTAGTTAGATGTCTATCTGGAAATTTGTGTGCACAGATACCCGATATGTAGGCATACATTGTGCTGTAGTAATTTGGCAGCAGTGATGTGTTGGAAGTACATCACCAAATTCTACCATCAGATTGGGGAACTCTGATAATTACATTTGCCCTAGTGCCTGTTGCATATACCAGGAAGTGGCCAAACACCAGGAAGGGGATAGGCCTATATAAAAAGAGGGGTAGTACTGTGTTGTAAATGCCAATTTTTTGCCCACATGAATGAGTGGTGAAATAGTGTATGAGGAAAAAGAGCTCAGTTGATTTCTCTTTTGAAATAATCTTTTTAAAATCTTGGTAATATTTTTAGAAGTGACACTTCTTTCTCTTATCCGTTATGTTGTTCCTAGTAAATAACTCAATTTATTTACAATTTTGTTTACTACTTGCCTTAGGGTTTTTAATAATGTCCTTCACAATAATTTCTAAGTGATTAGCATATAGGGTTGCCAACTGTGTAATTGCACAAACCCAAACACCCTTGCTCCGCCCCTTCCCCAAGGCCAGTCCTCTGTCATGCCTCTTCTCCAAGGCCCTGCCCCTGCTTACTCCAGCCCCCCATCACTCGCTGTCCCCCACCCTCACTCACTTTCACTGGGCTGGGACAGGGATGGGGTGTGGGCTCTGGGCTGGGCGGTGGGGCCGAGGGGTTCAGAGTGTGGGAGGGGGCTCTGGGCTGAGCCTGGGGCAGGGAGTTTGGGTGTGGGAGGGGGCTCAGGGCTGGGGCAGGAGGTTGGGATGCAGGAAGGGGTTCGGGGTGCGGGCTCTGGGAGGGAGTTTGGGTCTGGGAGGGGTCTCAGGGCCGGGGAAGGGAGTTGGGGTGCGGCAGAGGGTGGGGGCTGTGGGAGGGAGTTTGGGTGTGGGAGGGGGTAGGTGGTTAGGGTGTGGGAGGAGGTTCCAAGTACAGGCTCCGACCGGGCAGCACTTACCTCTGGTGGCTCCTGGAAGTGGCGAAATGTCTGGCAGCAACTCTTAGTCTCCCAGATGGCTCTTTGTGCTGCCTCTGCTTGCAAGCACCACCCCCAGAGCTCCCATTGGCCACGGTTCCCCGTTCCCGGCCAATGGGAACTGCGGAGTCGGCGCTCGGGGCGGGGGCCACGAACAGAGACCCCTGGCTCCACCTCCTCCTAGGAGCCACTGCCGGACATGTTGACACTTCCAGGAGTGGCGCGGAGCCAGGGCAGGTAGGGAGACTGCCTTAGCCCCGCTGTGCTGCCGTACTTTTAGCGGCCTAAAATCTCCCGTTTTGGCTTCAATAGCCTCTGGGAGATAGAGCCCAATACCAGGAGATTCCCGGCCAACCGGGAGGGTTGGCAACCCTATTAGCAAGATCAGCAGGAGTATATAAAGGTTTGGAAAAAGAGGCTGTATATTCTGCCTCCAGATTAGTATATGCAGCTTTTGCTGCATTAGGGAGCATTGTCCCTCACGTATAGTATATCCAAAGCCAGAATGAGGCCCAGAGCTTGATAGCAAAGGCCAACAAGGCTAAAAATATGTGCCTAATACTAGGCTTCTAAATCCATATTTAGGCACTTAAATAAGTGGCCTGATTTTCTAAAGAGCTGAACACGCAACAGCTCCCATCGAAATCAGTTGGCCAAATTCACCGTTGTCATAAACTGGTGCAAATTCACTAATGTTAGTGAGCACAGCTTTTGTGCTTGTACTAGGGCAGGATTAAACTGATTTATTTCAGTGTTGTTACACTGGAATAGGTGAATAGGTGAATAGGAGAATCTAGTTCAGAGTGTTTTGATCTGTTTAATGAAATTGCTTGTCAACAGAGTGATGAAGGGAAGATGTTTGTTTTAACTATATATATTTTTCAGAGCATGTTATCACCAAATAATGATTTTCAATTACCTTTTACAATCAATAAACTGCAAACTGTACTTTAAAATTAATTTATTGGATGGGGAGGAGTTTGTGATGCCCTAGTAGTAATGCACATTTCTCAAAGACTAGAATGAATCTCTCCAGATATTTTGTAGCCTTAGTTTAATTATGAATGCAACAAGTTTGCTTTCCTTTGGAAATACAGTTTATTGAACTCTTATTAAATTTGGCAACTTTCTGAATGACATGAAGGTTGATCTACAGGAGGACACATGCATTCACTGTCTCTGTTTTCCATCATTAACTTACTCTTTAATTCAACTCATTCTGCTGCTTTGTTTTGTTTTTTAACCTGTCCAGCTGAGCTCGGTGATTATGATCCTGATGAACACCCAGACAATTACATTAGCGACTTCAAGATTTTTCCCAAACAATCACAGAAGCTGGAAAAGAAAATTGCTGAAATACATCAAAATGAATTCAGGTAATTTAGAGTGCTGCTTGTGAAAGAGGCAGTGGTAAATTATTGTGTGTCTGTTTCTACACAGTATGCATAAGCCTTTTGGTTTCTGGTTATTATTTCTTTTTAAATTCTGAGGAATGTGTTGATAGTTATTTCAAAAATTAAAAAATGGGTGAAAATAAGTGCAGAAAATTAACTTAGCAGTTTTCTAGGTGAATATTAGGTTTAATATTGGGGATGGGAGGACAGAACAAAAACAACAAATAGAGAACAGTAAAAGTTTGTGTGTATCTAATTCCCACTACAAAAATAAAACTGCGTTTAAAACTAAACCAATTCACGGTTGGTGACTTGTGCAGTTACACTTGATATAAGGGTCTTCAGTGTGAATTCCAAAAGCCTGAGGGCATAGGCTTGCAGCAGTTTTTCCAGTGTGTCTTGGTGCTCCTCAGCTCCATCCCCTCCACTGTTCCCATCCTGGGAGCAGGAGGGGGTTCTGTGCCCTGGGCTTCCTCTCCAGGCAGTGACAGATCTCTGGACCCAGCTGCTCGCAGTGGATATCAAGGGGATGGGGAGCAGGGGAAAAGGGGCATGTCCAGTACTCATGGTGGCAGCACGTGTGTTGGGGAGGAGGCTCCTGGAACTCATGGGGGCACCCAGTGGGAGCGAAGGGGTGCCTGATACAGTGGCAGTGGGCAGGGGAGAAAGGGGTGCTGGACAGGGGTAAGCCTGGGGCCAGGAGGGGGGCAGTACTTATAGGTACAGCCTTCCTCTCCCTGCAGCCTGTCACTGCAGTGTTTGGTGGTCTCAGCAGTCTCCCTGCCTGTTTTGCTCCTCCACTGGACAGCTGAAGCAGCAGCCACCAACCAGCATTTACTCTCCCCGGCACAGGCATGCTGAGGAGGTCAGCAGGGAATCTAAGAGTCGCCATGGCACTGGGTCCGGGAAGTTCAGGCAGGTACAAAATCTGGGTAGAAATTAGAAAAATCCTGGGTTTTTCAAAACATGGGAATTTTCCAGAGGTTTTCAGTAAAAACCGAAAATGAAGGGCCCTAAATATACATAAAGTGACGGTTCTCTCCCACACGCATTCTATACATACATGCTGTCAAAGGTGCATTATTTCACAATGCAGTGTCAGCTTAAAAATATTAACAGGAATGCAAAACCCACTATAAATCACAACTGACTGCTGCATGTGTGCTGCCAACTGTTACCATGGTATGTAGTTAGCATGAAATGTATGGCTCTGATAAATGGGCATGGCTTACACTATGAGGTCTGCTGCTGTAGATTTACAGAATCTGATTTTTAAATGAAAACTTGGTAGCCATGCAGAGCTTTTTACAGTGAGATTTATGATACTTGATCACTTGCATTGTGTATTACATTGCACATAGTGTCATCTTGTTTGCATCTTTAGCTGGAACTATTCACTTGTTGTAATGCTATGATTTTGTGTGTGTGTGTTTTGCATTTCTGGTTATGCGCGCACATACAAACACAGAGCAATAGCCAGGATGGTGATTTTTGCATAAATGTATTCAAATAACCTTTTTGGAATGCTGAGGGGGATTAGATTCAGGACCCTTTCCCCCTTCTTTTCTGATCTGATGGGAGCAGAGTAGACAAAAATTAAAATACTTCTTAGTCTAGTAGAAGCTAAACATGATCCTGAGATGAAGCACCCTGTTTCTATGGAGAACAAGCACTGCTTTGTGCAAGTGTACCCCCTTCAGGACTGCCTAAGAATAACCAGACACAAGGTGGGTGAGGTAATATATTTTATTGGACCAACTTTTGTTGGTGAGAGAGAAACATTTTCGAGCTGAAGAAGAGCTCTGTGTAAGCTCAAAAGCAGGTCTCTCTCAGCAACAGAAGTTGGTCCAACGAAAGATATTACCTCACACACCTTGTCTCTGTTATATCCTGGACCAACACAGCTACAACAACATTGCAATAAAGGCAACTGCTCTTGTCATCCTGCTTAGCGGAAAGGAACAGTTTTTGAAGCGGAAGAGGAATATGACATGGAAAAAAGTAAAGAAAAATAGATTGATTGCATTACATAATATTTATAATCCACAGTGCATTGTATATGCTTGAAGTTGTCAGGCACTAATAGGAATTTGTTCAAGCTGATGCGACATGACATGCCAGTAACAGTGAGGTGTACAGGTGAAATTTCATAACTTTAAAAAACTTTGTTTCTACAAACTGCAGTGAAAGGCAATGTAGTGACCTGAACAGAACGTGATTTGCATGGTATTTCTGTAACTTTCATTGTAACTGTTTGTTTACGCAGAGGAGGGTTGGATTGATTGTTATTTAAGGATTCAGGAATTAAGACTTCAACTAGTTCTACTTGCTCTTGGAATGTATTTCTTAATTAAATAATTACTGTATTTAGCTGGGTAGATTGTCTCTTTCTATGCAGCAGTATCACTTTTACGATAAAGGGGTGGGGAGTGGAAACAACAAAAACCCGAACAACTTTGAAACTGAAAATTTTCAGATTTTATATAGTTAAAGCTTTAAATATTGCCTGTGTGATAAACAGCTTAAGTGTATCAAGTGTTGTTTTTTTTTTTTTTTTACACCTTGAACACAACCTCAGTGACACTCTCAGCAGTAGCTGGCACATTCAGGACATCTAATAAAAAACTGTTACACCTCAGTGCAATAACTGTGCCAGCATTATCCTGTTTCCCTGCCTTTTTTCCTTTCCCAAAGCCTATATATTTGTTTTGTATCTCTTTTGTCAGGACCATATCTTAAGTGACATAAAGATAATATCTCATGAGTGAAGCATTCTAGAGCCACGTTAAACTTTTAAACTAAAACAATTTCCAAAGAGAAGCCAAAAACATTCTCTCTTTTTCAATAAATATTGTTTTGATTTTAAAACCTCTCTTCCAAACGATGTGTCTTTAAAACTTCTCTTCCAAATAGATTCCCAAAGACACAGAACTTTCATTGATTTCATTGACAGTGTGTGTGTTAGAGAAAAAAATTTGGTCAAAACTCTTGTGCAAGAATGGACTACTCCCTTAAACAGATTGCAGAAAAATAATAAGGGAAGGAGGATGTATTAATTCAATGCATCTTGTACTCAAACATTCTTCTATAAACTTGTTTACCAAAATTGTTTTACATTAGTTTTAGGCCCTGACTTCCACTGGGACCTCAGCTTGGCCTCCATTTATACATGTGCAATCTTATGTGCGCACACACACAATGCGTGCATGCATTTTCTCAACACTAATGCCTGGACACAGAGGTGATAGATTCCATCATGTGTGCACACAAATTCTTGAAACACGTCACTGGCATGTTTGTCTGTCTGATCTAACCTAATCTATTCAAGTTCCAGAGCTGGAAAAATAAATGCACAGGAGTGTGTATGTGCACAAGTGGAGGTTAAGGTCAAGAAAACAAGTCCTTACTTTTGTTGTGTGTAGTGGACATCAAGAATATGTTGAAAATTGATTGTAATTGGGAAAGTGCAACATTCTGTTTTTGTGATGTCATCACATTCTCAGTAATGGCAGAACGAAAACTTGTACACTATGACAAATAATCAGAAAAAGCATTAATCTTACCAGTTTTTATATATTGTTGATGTATTTTATTAGCATGTCTTTCACTTGAGAGGTGCTATAAAATTCAGATTCCTGATTTTTCCTCCGATAAGAATAATAGGCAGATAACCAGTGAATCAGGAGTTTGTCAATCAGCCAGTGCTTTAAAAAAATCTGAGAATAGGTTACCAAGGTTTTGTAATAAAGGCATTTGAGTGATGTATTTGTTGATGTAAAGGGCAGGCCTTTGGGCCTGATTCTGTTCTCACTGATTTTAATCTGTGTTGTTCTACTGACTTCAGAGGAGCATTCTTGATTTCCACTGGTGAAAGTGAATCAGCCTCTTTATTTTTAATGCAAGTCTAAGTGAGTTAATACAAATCAAGATTTCTCACTTTTGCAGAATGTTTTTCCATCATCCAGGCCCCTGTAGCTTGGAATAATCTGCTTCCTCACTGAATCCCATATCATTATTCTCATGGCCCATTAACTGGGCACATCTTTTCTTCTATCCCAGTGCATGATGGAAGTATTTGTCTCCTGACGGTAATATGAAAACAGTGAAGGAAATGCCTGGGAAGTAGCTGATAGTGCACAGTGACAGCTACAAATGACTTAGTGACTCAATGAGAAGGTTTGTTCTAATTAATTAGAACAGATGTATGATGTGCTGCTTCTCTCTCTCTTTATGTGGTAGTGAAAACATTGTTAGGTTTTTATCAAATTGTGACCTTTCATGTGACCATTCTTTGAACCTGACTGCACAAATTGAATCTGATACAGAGGTTGTGACAGGCAGAGACACAACAGCTTTATAGAGCTGTGACTAATTGTTTTGTGAATTTTAATTAATAGTTGTCCACCTCAGTAAAGTAGGGGAGGGGTACTGTAACAATCGAATCAAACCTTACCAGAGGCTAAATGAAGGCCAGTCCTCATAACAGATATTCTGGTTTTCATGTCATCACAAATAAAGGCTCTTTAGAAATCCAGCATACCTATCCAGTTTTTGTAACTGGATGCTAGAAGCAAAGTAGGTGTTGCTAGATTTAAGATGTATTAGGCATTAGCGGGACATAGTGAATGGTTCTTTAAATAAATCAAAGTTGTTTGATCTCCAGCTGTCTGACTTGAATATGGAGCCCTGTCATATTTCTGAGCATGCACCTTACATGGCTGAGGAGAAGCAAACAGGATGACCCTTAGGAGCCTTGTGACTTAGAGGACTCAGGACTCCCTCTTAGGGTTTGATCATGTAGGATTCTGAGCACCCATGCAAGGTTTAAGTATCCTCAACTCCTGATGAAGTATATGGGAATTGACAGTGCTCAGCTTCTTGAAGGATTGAGCCCTAACTCTAAATTTTGCCCTGACTGGCAGAGTGATGGGGAGCAGAGATACTGATAAATGTGACTTCTGATCCTCCTGGACTTGTACCAA